TATAACGAGGAGGGACAAGACAGAGATGGGGTAGGGGAAAAAAGAGGCGCGAAACTTCATTACGCATTTGCGAGGTACTTCGCATTTTACTGTCCTCTCGTTTAAAATATTTATTGTACAGACCTATTGAGGGGGGAGTCGTGCAAATACAAACATTTTATTTATACAGACATTGTGATATATTTATCGTACAATAAATTGCGTGTGAAATTTCGTCATGATACGTCATCGAAGAACGAATATATAACGCGTAGCGTAGAAAAATTGTATCGTGTAATTGGATACACGTGGCTTGTGGGCGAACTTCAAGACGATAGCGCATAGTTAATTGATTTTGACGATTATGGCGACTTGTTCGCCCCTCAGTAGCATCTGCGGCACGTGTCTCTCCAAGGTCTCCGTCTTTCCCTCAATCTTCTTCACTACCGCCCTAGGGACATCATTTTCTGTCGGCTCCACCTTGACTGCATCAGCACCTGAATCGAAGATGCGATCTCGAGTCTTCGTCATATTCTTTCCGCTATTCCTTTCGCCCAATTAACATTCACCGACAAGCGCGACTTTACGTGACTTTTCACGCCAATTATTTCATATTAAAAACAGGTGGGACACTTAATTTATTTAGTAGTAAATTTACAGCATTGAGCCGCAACACAAGTATAATACGTGACGTGTTTATTTGATGACTGCCCCACGACGGTCATCGACGACTGACGAGGCGTAAACGGAAAGCTCAGTGTCGGTCACCGGTGACCGTCATGGCGGTGAATGTGTTACTAGTGCGGCCAGAATTTATTAATATGTATAACGTGGATGGCTCTACTCATTTGCTATATCATTGCGATGGAGCCAATTTGTTCAGTTGAGATAGGAACTTAATCTGCGAGAATACGACGGCACAGAATTCTAGATGAAGAAAAATGAAAATATGTTGAAGGAGGAAGGTGATTTTACAATTTAATTTAAAATAATAACAATAAAATATTGCTGCGTACTTGATATAAATACGCATCAAAGTGTTTGACTTGCGTAAGTCGATGCGGCAGATATGTAAATTAACCAGCTGCATTTTAATTTAGTTAGCACGTGCTGGCATTTGTTACGTGATATCATCATTTATACAGTGTATAGCGTATCGTTTAAAATCTTGTAAGTGCCTATCAGCGTTTTGCAAAAGTCTTTTGTCTTAGGTGTCTAAAGGAATCAGCAATTATTCCCTTTTACAACAGTTCAATCAACCTTTGATATTTAGCGTTAATGTTAAATTTACTCGAAAGATATCTTTCTTTGATACGTCGACATTAAAATCCTGAGGGAACTCAAAATACGTAACAATGACTCGAAAATTTCTATTGCGGTGAGCTAGTATACCGAGCCCGCGGATGTGCTACGTCGAAGTCAAAATAAGGGCGGTACACTTTTGAACGCTGGCATTAAGCAAAAGTTCTCGGAAGTGTGTACGATGTCGCGAATAAACCGGAGAGAAAACCATCGTGAGGTCACGAGAAAAGTCTGGGAAGGTTGTTTATGTGCCAGCACGTGTCCGTAGAAGCGCGCGGGGGCTGTGATAAGCGGGTTGGGGTCGGAGGGAACGGAAGGGCCACGGGAGGGTCGGAAGGGGGATGGCAGGCAGGAAGGCAGGCAGGCAGGCACGAGGAGCCAACAGGACACGTGTACACGAGGAAGGCATCGATCCTGCCGGGCTGTTCTCCAAGGTCGCCGGTCCCTCCACCCTTCCCTAGCCACGTATCAACGACCTCGCGACCCCTCGCGATACGTCCCGAAGTACGTCAGTAGGCCAACTAGCCCTGAACTCGGCGCGCCGAAAGAGAGAGGAAGAGCCGCCCAGGGCGTCGCTTTTTAGACGATGCTATAAACAACGACGAGAAGGAAAGAGTTTAGTCCTAACGCGCGTTTCCTGGCGTTGCGGAGCAACGCCATTGCCGGTCTCCGTTAACCTTTTAGAGATAGTTTGCTTGAATTGTAAGAAAGCAAATTAACTCTCAACAGGTACCACACGGGGCTTCCTTCTAGACCTGATTAGTAACATATAAATAAATCTTTACATTTGACAAGGAAATAATTCTAATCGCATTGTTATAACATTATTTAACGCGTAACATGAGTTTTAAGAGCAAGGTTTTTCATAAATATTTCAATTTTGATGGAATCACGACTCTACTCTCTGTCGAAATTTAATTAAATCTATGTCTACGTGGGAATTACTAGCACAGTCCACTTTACTTGTAATAGATTACCGTTTTTATTGAAGAAAAGTAACTACGTCAAAATAATATACATGCGTTCCTGAACGTTAATTCCGTTTTATTAATCGTGTACCGTAAAAATTGCCGATTGTTTTGATTAGTTGCGCATCTTGCGAATTGTTCATACACGACAAACGAGATCGTAAAAAATTCCCACATGCATTCATATATAAAATCTGTTCGAAGCAATTTCATCCAACTGCAACTGCAGACATATTTTTTTATGTTGGTTATGATCGACCAATCGAGTCGCGGACCTTTTTGCAGTAAACTCCGAGATGCAAAGCGAAATTGGCGTGTCGACGGAATGCACTCATACATGCGTAGATAAACGCTAGTTTATCTAGTAGAAATCACGAGATTACAGAACGGCATTGATAGGCTGAACGGAACGGAAATTAAAGTTACACCGATAAAATGTCAGGAAGTTCGCCGAAAAAACTCGTGATAAAACGTATGCGATATGTAATCCGGAGGATTATCGACTGCAGAAGGGCTTTCTATCTAAACTTCTGGGAAATAGATTGGACTTCTGAGAAAATCCGGGGAAAGAAATTCAATATACAGCGAGTGTCATTTTAATCGGAAATTTCTTCGAAGTCTAAATATGTAATGGATTGTTCCGTGGCGGAAGCGTTTACTCTTGGCAAATAACTATTTTTCCCTCCCACAACAAATAGATTTTATCCGAATAGAATCTTAGTTGGCGCGATACTAAAAAGTGCAAAACTTCCTCCCTCGATAATCCGATAAAAAATCGACGGCGAATTGATCTAAGATCTGCAGTTAACATCATCCGTTGTACGATATGTCGATTTTTCTCTCGATTCTTTTTACGCCATTTAAAAGTAACTAAAAATCTAAACGAAGCGTATTTCCAAGTTGAAACGCGCGTTCGGTCGCTTAGATCGCGTGTTTGACATGACCGGTGCGGATGAATGAAAACGAGAGGCGAAGGTTGGAGGGCACGTGGCGAAGAAGAAAAGGAGGGACACGAGGGTAACGCGTGAGAGGAAAATGGTTGGCGGGCGGGGAGGGGGGATGCGGAGCATCGGGGAAGCGTCTCACGCGGAACAACGGGCGGTGGGGGAGGGAATCGACGGAAGAGAAACGGCGGGAAGAGGACGCGCGGAGGAGGAGAGCGAAGCGGCGGCGGAAAGAGGCAGAGAAGAAATGAGCGAGGAAGCGCGCACGCGAAGAGGGGCCCGCCGCGCGCGGACCTCCTCTCCTCGAACGCGCGTATCGAACGCGCGCGCCGGCGACCACTATACGTAGTCAAGGTCGGTCCTTGCTCCTGCCGCAAAGCGGCGACCTTAGTGGGATGTATTATCCCCCTTTCGCGCGCGCGATACGACGACCCTTCCTCTCTGCTCTTCCACTGCTGCGCCGCCCTTTTGCCGCGCGGTGTAAATAAAGACGAACGGACCACGCGCGCGCGTACATACTCCCCTGAGGCGAGTTCGTTAAACCCTATCGATTCGCGCGACGAATGAAGAATGGGAATCCCGTGGATTAAAAGTGGATCGTACTTTTGCCTCGAAGATGCTCTTCCCCTAACGGCGACTAAGGGGCGCGATCGTGAAAAAAATTGGGGAGGGAAAATACGAGGAAACATGGAATCTTATACGTTTCACATATAATTTTGCTGATTTTCGTTTTTGTCGCGAGTCGTTAACTTTCCAAGACTTAAGCGCACGCAGGATTATTATTCGTTGGACAAGTGCGTATTAATAAGAATGACTATTACACGAGGCTAAGCAAATAATACAAGAGAAAGAGACAGTGTCAATGAGTTTTAAGTTACGATTATAAATTAGAACGGCTATCGTCGATTACTACAGTCCTGACTCGATGACAAATTGTCTCCGTCAGTCTGTATCGACAGTATCAGGTGGCAGGCGAATAGCGAGATAGACTAACAATAAGACACAAATTTACGAGTTTTAAGTTCTGTGAAGCGTTATGCAGATTATATATATATCTACATATATATACATATATATATCCACACACATACACACACGCGCACACACACACACTCTCTCAGTTCTTCGATATTCTAAAAATATATCATTGATACATACAATGCTTATAGCTCATAACTCGCGAACAGAAATTATTACGTACAAGATATCACATGTTACATGTAAAAATGTTCATTATTTTATTATTATATTATGTCAAAGATTTATCATATACTTTTAGCGAATGGATAAAAATGATATAATTTGCAAAAACAATGAATTTTTCAGTCTATATTTTAGTTCGAAATTAATTTTTTTAAATATAACTTTGCAGCATGTGAAATATCTTTAAAAAGCGTGAAATATTTAAGCGATGGGAAAGTAATACAATAATACCGGCGAGTATCAACTTTGTACAAGAAGCGTATTATTTTGTATGTTGTATTTTTTATTTTACTTGATAGAAAAAGGAAAATGAGGACATTGAATAATTCGCCAATAATGCGATCTTACAATTTCCAGACGAAACCAATATTTGGTGAAGTACCTTCCAAAGAAATTGCGTATCCCCGTGCGTACCTATTTTTCTTTAGGGCCGTATCATTTATGCTTCGAAATGTCGGAGGTTATAAAGCTCGTTTTTTATCACCCGACTCGGTTAGCATCTCTTTTTCTCCCTCACACACATACGTACACACAGAAACGTCAGCGTGTCGCATTGTATCTTCGTGAGACGCAAAAACTCACGAGGAGACGAGAATAATCGATCGGCCGACTCCTTTCCATCACATCTACAATATTTCGAATCAGGCACGTGTTTTTTTTTAACAATACTATATACACCTGCATATATACCGAAAATGATGATTGCATTATTCAAGAATCTATAATTGCTGAGGGACGAGTCCGCTTATGAATTTCAAGCGTAAATTTATATCTGTAAATCCCTTTCAGATCGTACGACGTCAGATGTAAATTTTGAAAATTTCACAGCATTTATTGTTGCATTATTCTTAAAAATCATATTAATATAGGTTCTGCATCATGCACAATTAAAAATACGACACGATTATTCTCCGTCTTTTTTCTGTTAAAAAATCTACATAAAAAATTATAATTTATCCTTGATTCTTACACGCGCGCACAAATTATCTACTTATGTGTAACTGGAACAGGTTAATTCTTACGCAATTTCAGTATTCTCGGCCTTTGTAATTTTTTCTTGTTATCAATCTTCATGAAATACAAAGTATTCCACGGGATTAGCATAAGAGATAAGAAGATTATTGACTAATCCTACAACAGTTGCGTTGCAACTCCTAATAAAGTATAAAGTATCGAATAGCAGAAACTATAGTTAGCATTGCATAATGCGCTAATAACTATCGCGAATATAATTAATGAGAATCGCGGTTATTATTAGGTACTCGAGCAGTTCATTTAATTCGCAAAAACCTTGATGAAGAAAAATGGATTCTCAATTGATCAATTGAAGCGCGGGAATCGTAGATCAACCATGTAACGATTGATCTCATAAAGTCATAAACTATGGTATTCGTCAATTCGACGACCACCGTTGTCGAGACAACAATGTCATTACAAAGAAAATGGTTTTAGCAATGAATTGTCTAGAAGCACTTAGGATGTTAATATAAAAATGTTTGAAAAAAAAAGATAACGACCAGTATAAAGTTTAATAGGATGATCGTACCGAGAGCGGGCGCTTTCCTCTTGACTTTGCGGGACCAGACCTCGAAGCAGTCCTCGAGCGCGAGGTTCCAGTACTTGTCGAAGGCGGCCACGTATGCCTCCACGTGTCCCCTTATGCCGTGCGCGTTCCTGGTGTAGACCTTCGGCACAAAGAACGGCCGATTATTCCTTTTAGATCGCGACGAGTCCTCGTATTCCAGGTAAAACCGTGTTCGCCGAGAAAAGAGACGGCAATCGACATTCCCTCTTCACTTTCGATGATTACCCCGAGTCGTCCGAAATGTGAGGTAGAAATCAAGCGAACGTTGTCGACGCTGCAAAGGCGTTCGCGCTTTTATGGCGCGATAAATTCTCTATCTATTTACGGCCGCCCATATTATTCAGATTAATGTGCCACATGAAACGTATCTATAAATAAGAGCTAGGCTGATTTTTTTTATCGTTGCAATTTCTTGCGAAAATTCGATCGACTCGCGCAAGTTGTCGTATGATGAAACCGGGTCAATTTTTTTCCTCCGTATCTCGCAGGCTACGTATTCATTAAATTTTCGTGCGACCAGCTAATTACATAGTCTAGAAACAACTAAAAATGACACTAATTACGAACATAATTACGAATATAATTAGTGTCGCCATTAATTATTTCTATAATTATCTATGATTATCAGCCCATTAGCAGAATTGTAGCGATACCTTATTTTGAATTCTAATTTGTCATTTCTATTCTATTCCACGATTCTATGTTGAGTTTCAATCTCTTTTTCCTAAACAAAAACTCAATTTCGCCAATCACGCGGTCGTATTTGTTCCGGAAATACATGGCGCGCGAGAGTAATTAGCATTTTACAATATTTTAAGACGATAAAATTGAAAGACCCATCGCGCCTAGTTGAGGAAGGTTCGTGTCTGCGAGAAAAAGCGTTGTTTGTCGCATAGATACGGTCGCAAGAGACAAGATAGCGGCCTGATACGCGGAAGTGCAGGCCGACAAGGCAACAAGGCCCCCTTCAATGCCTTTCGTGCAGCGTAGACATACGTGCCAGCCGGCTTTGCCGCGCAATGAGAACTAATTGCGAGCCTCGAACTCGCGTACGTGTGTGTCATCGCGAGTCATTGAGTGCCGACGATGTCCGCGAATTAGCCGGAATCGATTCTAGGAGTCCGCAAGACCGCCTACGGAGGAGTCCGGTCTTGGTCGTTTCAAGGTGACAGAACTCGCGCGTGTCTCAGCCCTTCCGCGTGTCTTCGTTTTTACATGAATGATGATCCGATGGAGTCATTTTCCCCCCCATTTATCCGCCGTCGCCAATTAATTTGAGACGGCTTATTTTTCTTTCTGTCTTCACTTTCATTAAGCGACCGTACCTCGGGATGCGATCATCAATTGCGGATATGATGAAAATATGGTGTCATTAGAATTAATCGTTGTTTCGGAGCGGCGACGATTTTGCGCGCTTGATGTGTCAAGATTTTCTTGACCGTGGCTTCAAGGATCTCGTTGCGATCCAGAGATCGCGGCAATGAGATATCGAGGGCGATTCGGTGGCAAGATACGGATTCAATTAGACCGGAAAATTTCGGAAGTGCCTCGAGGCTGCGACTCGATTAGGTCCTACGTGACTTCTCGCCAAAATCTCTGCATGAAATGCTCTCGCAAGCTCGTCCTTGTCGCTGTTAGCTTTGGCAATTTTGCCATTTTTTAATTTACTCCTCGAAATAAAAGTAATTCTACGTTATTATATTACACACATGACGGTACAAACTGTTAGATACGTAAATCCACTACTTCTTGACGAGCAATAACTCGAGAATAATAAATCTCGGAGACGTTCGCCATTCGATTATTCAATCAATATAATCGAACGTCCCTCGCGATTCTTTTCTCAATGCGCTTACATTCGTTCGCGACGAGATGAGTTTGAATGACTTGATGGTAAAGAAAAAAAAACCCCCGCGTGCTTTCCTCGGCAATTTGAACGGTCGAAGGTCGAGTGATCGATTCGCCGAGATAAAATCTTCTTTCCGGATGCGTTCGAAGGTCACAGGAGATTAGGATCTGCCGAGGACGGTGACGACGAGAGACAAGGCGAGTCTTGAGGAACGCGACGACGATGAAAGTTAACGCATTTAATTTAAGCTCGGGGAAGGAGGCTAATCGGAAACTCCATCCTCCTTGTTGAAGATATCCGCTTCCGCTCGGCGGAAGCCCAATTAAATCAATTTGACTTTTATTTTCCATTATTCCGTCTTATTGTCCTATTATTAGCCGTCCTTAGCGCGAGGCGGCGATCATTAAGCGCGCCGCGCCGCGAGAAATCATCGGATGCGATTAGATAAGTATGATGATGTTGATTTATCAGCGTGCACATCGCGCCGCAATTTTACAACTTTCCACGGTGACGCGCGTTCACTTCCGGATTGATTGTACAATCTCGAGGATGTGTCGCTTCTGCGTATACATATTATATATTACCGAATCGACAGGGAGTTCTCGGGTTGCGCGTGTCATCTGTCCAAGAATTATCATCCCTGAGAGATATCCACCGCAAAATTATAATTTTCACTAAGTATCGCCCTTATAAAATTGTAATTGTTAAACTTGGAATCGTACTGCGTTGGATAATTGTCTCGCGTGCATGAAGTATTATATTTGCAATTCTGGCAGTCGCAGGAGGACTGAGATACGAGCGATTGAAAAACTTCAGTACGTGGAAATTGCAGAAATTGCGTATGCGACGATCGGTAATAGTTTCCGAAGGGTATCGTGTAAATTGTATATCCTGCCGGGTGGGTCGACCGTGTGTGCTTCGAGGGACAAATTTTAGGGCATCGACGCGCCACTTGTCCGGGCGCGATCTCGTTTCGTGTTGAATCGTTTGTCGTACGACGACGATGCGTCAGGGACGTAAACAGAGGTGGCTAAAGCGCCCTGTTGGGTCACCATGGTTACGAGTGTTGACCCGAATGCTTTTCTTTCCTCCCCGGTCGCGTTTCTCCGACGAAGGGTGGGTCTTGTCGCCCTTCGAATACCCGCGAAGGGTTTCGCGTACGTGTCACTCGGCTGCGAAAGTGTGTCAAGCTGTGTATGCGTGCACGCACAGTGTTAGGGGTTAGAGGGAGAAGAAATGACAGAAGGGAAGGAACTGCGGAAGGGCGGACGAAGCGCTCTTTTTTTTTTAGGATGACTTCTTCGGCCATCGGCAAGGACGTAAAGGATTAGAAAGAAGGCGTGGGGGAAATTGCGGCAGAAAATATCTATTCTGCAATGTGCAGATGTGCAATTCGCAAAATGTGCGGAAGAAACGAGAGAAACCTTAGTATTTCAGTCTTCGAATATAATAAATATATTGAGGGACTTCTGCAATAACGAGAGAATTGGTCTTTAATATGTAGAAATTTCTGCAAAGTTAAAATTACCCCTCGTGAAAAATTACTGTTTTTATTTCAACAATCATTATCGGCATTTTTACGAAGCATTAAGTATTAATCATCAGTGATTGGAAAAAAATTAATCGATGACCTACCCTAACGCGAATTTTACTCTCCATGCACCCGTGAAGCATTCCTAATGGGCCAAGACTCCTTTGCATTCTCGCGAGTACATTCTTGTTTCCAGGTCTCCTTCTAGGCGCTGGTTCTGTAAACAATCAATTTTAACTTTAAATATTAACAAATGCTTAAAAAGATCTGAATACGATTGATAAGATACCTTTGATTAATCGTATTCGGATCTTTTCTGAAAGTTTGAAACTTGAAAATTTCATTAGGCTTTGAACTGACGTGATTACATAAACAAAGTTTTTATAAACACAAATAATACGGCGAAATATTATAAAAAGTCTGTGGTAACATTTAATGGAGTTCATAAATGTATCCGATCGTTGATGAACCTGGTTAAAAATGACTAAGAAGAGGGTTACGTTACTTTTGAATTGTGCCGGAATATCGAATTTCAAGTTTATTTCACGATATCGAAATCAATTGTTTATTATTCGCGTCAAATAGTCTTTTATTTTTGAGATACATGCACACAAAAAGAAAGTGTGTTGCATGCACCTTATTAACCATTCGATATTGGACACTACAAATATGTATTAATAATAATAATCAAGAAGAAAGTTTCCTCAATCATAATAACCGCATGGAAAGCTATGAAATAATTAATCCCCATATTATTAAGAGACCTTCGGTCGCTACAGATTATCCGCGGTGAAATATTGAAGTTAAAAGTACACTAAAACAAAGTATGTTACCTTTTATAATATATTCAGTGTAACAAGCGTCGTAATAATAATAACTAGAAAAATAATAACGAGACTCTATATTATATTATGAGTCACTACACTTGAATAGTATCGGAGTATCGGAAGTAGTCTCGGAGACGGGCAGATTGCGGCGATGGATTTTTATGAGCTGCCGTAACACCGCGCTAATAAGAATTTATGCGGCTCTCTCGTGTCTCGCGGACTCGCTCGACAAATCATCGTTTCATCCTTACGCGCGAGGAACGGAGAGCCGATAGCATCGCGCTCGCGTCGTTCGTTCCTCCAGTTTTTGCTCCTTTTTTCCCCGCCGTGGCTACGAGACTTTACGCAGCCGGGAGAGCTTCATTAACCCCCGTCGTCGTTCCCGCACCTTATACACAGTGATACCGAACTTTTCTTTCCCGTTGAAGTAAATCAATCGGATCCACGATGAAGGCGCAACGCGGAGGAAGAAGCACGTAACTTTGACGTCCAGCGCGTAATTTAGCGTCTTAAGCCGAAAGTAATAGCTGTAGATTAAACAAAACTGAGAAGTCGCTCGTTTTCTTATTGCAAAAATTACGCGTGTTGATATGGTAACTTTCTTCATATGTTAAATATCACACTGAGGAAAAATGTCCGATTAAAAGAAAAAATAAATTAAAAGAAAATATCGATAAACCCTGAGCAAAATTTTGAGGCAAAATCTACGGCAACTCCGAGAAATCTCCCTTGATAAAGTGGAACGCTTTCGGGATGGCGTTTCCGAGGACCGCGAAAGATGTAAATCTCCCCGGAAGGATCTGTCCCGAGTCTCGTTATTTGGACAGAGGTCTTCCTCGGGGTCGCGGACTCGCGGATCGGGGAGACTCGGAGACGGTAGACGCGGCCCTGGACGGTCGTCGCGCGCGGAAAGAGGAACGCCGTGGAGTTACGTAAAGTCTCGGAGCTGCGCGGCGCGGCGCGGCGAGTGCACTTATTTTCTCCGTGTGCGCGCGCCCGGCGCTCGTGACTCGCGCACACGGGCGTGCGAGCGGTGTGCGTCGAGCGAGAGAGCTGCGGTGCGCCGCGCACTCGCGCGCCGCTCGCACGCTCGCCCGCGAGATCGACGGTGCCAATTGGCTTTCTCCGATAACTTTCATCCGTCTAAAGGGGCCCGTCGCGGCCGCTCGCGGCCGCTCGCTCTGCTTCTTTTCCACCTTTCTTTGTTCCTTTCCGCGTGCACTTTCACTATCGCGCGATCCACTGTTGCGCCGCGCCGAGGCGGCTAGGCGTCGACGATCGAGGACGAGAAGGGATCGGCGACGATCCGTGCGTGGCCGGCCTGGTTTCGCGTGCGCGCCCGTAATCAAATCGCGGATTGTGTTACGAGCTGTGTGCGTGTGTGTGTGTTTTTTTCCCCTCGGATAATGATGGGTAGGAAGTTGCCTTTTTCTTAGATTAGACGTACAAAGGCGAATATTTCCGAGATGAAGTCCGGATACCGCGACGGATGCTAACGGATGGCTGCATTCCCTGAATTCGCGCTCCACAAAACGCGTCCCAGGGTATCCTCTGGTAACAGAAGAAACCCAACTCACGGTCTGATGAGAAAAACGCTTTATTTCATTTAACGGATAAATCAGGCTCGCCTTAGGAGAAAAAAAATGAATGGGAGGAGCGAGAAGGAAGGAGCACAGAGAGCCGGGAAAAAGAGGCGATGGAATAAGCGCACTCCGCGTCCACCTCCGACCTTCCGGCCGTTTTTCCTTCTTTCTCGCGAGCTCCTTCGCTTCTCGTCCCGATCCTCCTTCGTGCGCGCGCGCGCGCACGTGCAGGAGATAGCGCAACACCCGAGTGTGCAGCCCGGAGAACGTTCACGTTTGCGTGAACCGCGTTGCAGGGAACCGTTAGGATCGCAACCGCGCGCGCGGCCGCGAGGGGAGGAACGCGAAACGGTGACTTTATCGTCCCTTCTCTGGGCAGGGTGAGCCATGGAGGTGTCCGTCGTTCCGTACCTCGCCTTGCACGTTCGTTAACCCCTTAAGGCGGCATGATACTCGGGCTAGCTTATATACAGGGTGTTCGGTAATCGGTACGTTCGCCGGGAGGCCGAGGAAACGCGGAAATGCTCTCCTTCGAGAGGAAATATATCGGAACGCGTGGATCGAAGTCGGTGGACATGTAATAATTTCGGGAAAGCTTCAGAGATGCGAATCGATAATAGAAACTTTGGCGTATGCTTTTTGCCTCAAATAGATTTTACCCCCCTTCCCCCCCCCCCCACTTTCACCCTTTCAGGATTAGCAATGTGCTAAGTGCGGTATTTAACCTACTTTCAAATTTGCTAAATTATTCATTTAATTCTTGAACAACAAAACTCGATTTGCCAGCAGCAATAGACTTTCTCGCGTCGCGCAACTAATCACTGGAATTGGAAGATTATAAACAGTGATGCGATTGAATCAGCATTGTCGCGATTTTAAGACATTGTTTTGAAGCGAGGAAGGACACACTGAGAAAAATATCCGGTTAAACATAATCGGATAGTCCAATTACGTAATAACAAACGGATATATCCGATTAAATTGTATATCTGATGAAAAATATGGCCGGTTATTCGATCAAATTTCATCGGTAACTGCATTTCATCGGATATGTACATAATTTAGTCGGAAAAATTGACCCTCAGAAAGGATTTCTGTTACCGAGACAAAAAATATTCTTGGCGCACTTATATTTCTCACAACCTCGTTTAGTATAAAAATAAGACAATATCAAAATAAAGTCGATCATTCTTATCCTCCTCTATCGAATTAAAAAAGATTGACTTGCTATATTGAGACAAGAGTAACTTATACAAATGTAAGTTTATACATTCTTGCGTTTAAAATAAATAAATTTTCCCTCCATCTTACGAAGCATGAAGTTGGCGCTATATCGATCCTATTTTATGATACATTCAAGTGTAATACCATTGGATCCGGAAATTTTTTCTGTGAGTGCACTATTTTATTGGTTTATCCGATGGAAATTGTTCTCAGTGCAGCAGTAAGATATACGTTCATATTATTTCGCTTAAAAGTTTTGGTACATTGAAATCTGAAGAGTATAACATTTGTCGCGGATCGTCGTGGATTAAAAAGTATCGCGAGGTCAACCCTTTGATCACCGCGCTCTCGATTACATGTGTATGCACAAAGACGCTGGTTTCCGCATTCGTAACATCGATTTTGAAAGAAGTGGTCCTTCGAGCGTGCGATTGTCTAAAGACGAAGGCTCGCTACTTTCAAAATCGTTATTGTAATTTATGCAAAGTCGCTTGAGCAAAAAGCTCGTTTTCACAATAAGCTAAGCGACGGCCGCCCTTGAAACGTAACCGTTGCGAAATATCAATGATTAATATTTGACTTTAATAATTTGCGACACGTATGAGCGAGATCCTCCCTGTTTACATACACTTTAACATTGTTGCATTTCGAGGAGACGTGGTTATTTTCGGTGTACAAATTGCATAAACATATTTGATTCGTTTCAGCAACCTTTACGTAATTTGCAATTGTATTATTCAGTTTACCTTCGAATTGGCAAATTGTCAATAACTTTTGAAATTTAGACTTTATCCGAGCGAAATACCAACTCGTGATAAGTTAATAAAATTGTGAAAATTGAAGGAAACTAAAGGAATTGGAATTTGAAAAATTGTCAATAACGTTGGAAAATTTTTATCTAGCCAGGTACAAACAAGATAAAGAATTTATTCGACTTTCTTGGCGTAGTATAAATATCAGATTTATGTTAACTATTGATGAAACATATTGAACGTTTTAAAATTAGATTTTATTTTGGTAGAATCTGCTGGAAATTATTTGAAAACTAATAATCGCGAATGTAGATTGACGTGAAAACTTTCTGCTTTTCTTACAAGCAAGAATTGATATTTCGGAAAGTATTTGTGTTATACGAAAGAAGTGTCAACCTCATATTAATTCGAAGTATCGAAATACACTTTAACGTTGTTGTGCTTCGAGAAGACACGGTTGTTTCCAATGTACAAATTGCATAAACCTGTTCGATGCATTCGTTTCAGCAACCTTTACGTAATTTGCAATTGTAATATTCCGTTCACCTTCGAATTGGCAAATTGTCAATAACCTTTGACAATAAGCATAATTTTTCACTTTATTATTATAACTGTTCCATTGGAGATCTTTTGCGAAATACTCGAGATATATTTCGGTCAACAAGATGTTAATATCTTACGCCAGTTCAACATCAAATTCCTTATCGAGATAATTGATTAATACGTTTGAGAAAAACAAAACAGTAAATTGAATTTTAGGAAAACGAATAACTTCTCCGTTCGTTTTATTTCAATAAGAGTTTGACAGAATTTCAATTACGAATATGCATT